GGATGGATGGATGGATGGATGGATGGATGGATGGATGGATGGATGGATGGATGGATGGATGGATGGATGGATGGACAGAATTACTTTTTATCATGTATTAAATCTTTGCACATGCATGAACATTTGTGATGAATACATCCTTGTCCACCCATTAAACATTTGGCTGAGCCTCATTGGTCCAGAGGAGACGCAGCCCTCCAGTTCTTTCCTGTGGTTGTCACCGTGGCGACAGTGATATTGATGGCCATTATGATAATAGTGATAACAACAAGCATACTAAAAATAATTATAATTAGCTTGTCTCTCTGTCTGTCTGTCTCTCTTTCCCTCTCCTGGCTTCCTGCTGTAATTATCCACAGCTGAGCGCATTGTCTCCCCGCTCCCTCTTTTCATCTTCCTCTGCCTTTCCCTTGCTCCCTTTTGCTTTTAAATCCCTTCCTCAGTTCCTCCTTCTTCTTCTGCCCATCATCTCCTTCTAATCCTTCTTACTTCAAAATGGCCTTCAGCATTTTTTGTTCCATTTTGAACCATCTATAAGGCCAACATACTAATATTTTTTATACACTTAGATTTTTTTCACTTTTTGTTTTTTATTTTCTTTCAATGAATTGTGTTTTGTTGTCTTTTCATTATTTAGCATTAGATCCTGAGGTCTGTTGATTGAAAGCCACGTTTTAGTTTTCCAATCCTCCTTTCTGTTTTTCCTCTCTTCCTCCATCCTCCTCCCCACCTCCTCTTCTCTTCACCAGCTGCAGAGAAATTTTCTGGTGGACTTGGCCCAGTCGCTCTCTTTCATTGCATGCTGTCTTTTAGTTCGCTCTCTTCCTCCCTTCCTGCCCTTACTTCTCTCACAAGTTGACTTCTGTTCATCTTTAACAGTGGGAGTTATTCAGCACTTGAATGAGTAATGGTCAGTGGCAGCCAATAGCAAAGGCACCTGGACTGATGGAGACAGAGGGAGGCCTGTGGGCAGAAAGAGAGATGATCCTATACATGAGGGTTTTATCTTTTCCCCACCCTGTTTACCCCACTTCATGTTTGATGTGGACATGTTATAGGTTGTAACCTATAAACCCAATGTTTTTCATAAGATCTAAAACCAATTAATAACACTTTTAAACACACATACATTTTTTTTCAATTAACTATATGTTCTATTTTTTGATGATTTATGATAAGCTCATGACATTTTATTCAGACTCCTGGAGAAAATCCAGTTGCAATCAGTTGCTAGTTTTACTGTAAAAAAAAATGTTTTAAATGATATAAATGTAGGGTAAATTGTTTAGCTTAGAGTCAAAATACAGAGGAATGTATTATGAATATAATTTCTTGGATATTTTTTTGTGTTGCTTGCATTCCTTCTCTGCCTGCTTCATGATAGTTTTAAAATGATAGTTCAAATATCCGGAAGGGGGTTCTGTTCTTAATTGTTCTGTTAAGAAGAAATAATATCTTACCTGTTTTGGATACATCTTTAAAGGGCTCGTTTTGGAGAAACGTGTGGTACATTTTCTGCTCAGGGAATAAATCCTCATGGGTAAACCCACACGTGGACAAAATTATAGTCGATATCATGAAGCTCTTTCTTCCCCATGTTTTCCTCTACATATGCCCCATTTCTATGTTAGCTGGGAAAGGCTGGAGAAAAAGAATAATTTTTAGTTTTATTTTAGCATTTAACATATCACGTCTTTTTCTAATCAATCTTGGAAATACATAATGGCGAGATGACTTGAAATATATGGTTAAATGAGCTTTTTCCTTTTTTTCTGTTTTTAGTTCCCAGTCAGCCTCCTCAGAACGTGCGAGCCATCTCTGTAACATCGGATGAGGCGGTGATCACATGGGCGGAGCCTCCGAGACTGACTCTCCATGGCGTGCTGAAGGGGTATCGTGTCGTGTTTTGGGCCGTCTTCCCAGATGGAGGTGTGTTTGATTCGTCATCCCAAACTGTGATTGTCAGCTCTCAGTCTGAACCTCTCACCTTTTCCTTCTCAGAGTGGGGTGAAATGCAAAACATTACAACCACCAAAGAGCAGGTGGAGCTTAAAGGCCTGGAGAAGTTTACCAACTACAGCATCCAGGTGCTGGCCTTCACCCAGGCGGGGGATGGTGTCCGGAGCAATGTCCTGTACATTCAAACCCGCGAAGACTGTAAGATCATATTTAGTTGCTGTTTCCACATAGGAAGAAAAAAAAGAGTTATTAAATGGCCTTCAATAATGTTTCGTTTGTTTTGACTACATCGTTGAGGCAGCTTTCAGGGTTTTTCCTCTTGGTTTAGGCAGCAGTGTGGGAGGCAGAGAGCCAGCAGGTGTAGAGGGGGTCTTTGTAAGGCTGAGGTTGCTGATTAACAACCTCTTTGTGCTCTGATGTGCCATTACCAGTGCTAATGAGAATTAGGAAGCCAAAAAGTGTGTGTATGTGTGTGTGTGCGGTTAAGAACCCTAAGGGTGTGTGAATGTGTGTGTGTGGGGGGGGGTGGTATTAAGAGTCTCTGCATTTGAACATGTCTTTGCGTTGGTGTGCATGTACGGCTACATGCGTGTGTGTGCATGGGTTACTGTTTGTGTGCGAGTCCAGCTCACAGCCCAGCACAAGGAAGGGGATTAATTCTTTGTGGCTTAGAGAGAATTAATTTTGTGCTTACACTGGCGGACTGTGGATTACATCCGTATCCGCCACTCCTCTCCTTCCCTGGGGCCAGTCAGAGAAGGAGGCAGGCGTCTCGAGATGGAGAAAATGAGGGAGCGCAAGAGAAAGGGGGGGAGGAGGAGGGGAGTGGAGATTCTAAGAAGTGTCATTTCAGAAAAGGCCTTTATTCTCTCATCCTCACCGTATCTCCATTTTCACGAGTTCCCCTCAGTGCAGTGGCTCTTGAGATGCGCGTTTTCCTTAATCTTTGTGTGCGCGTCTGTCTGAGTCTGTCTTTTAACCCCTGATGCAAGTTGACACTGTGTCCAGGGGCAACCTCTCCATAAACGTTATCGGTCTCTCTCGGTCTAACCTTTTCCTTTGCCCTCAGTGCTGTCTGTGGCGAATGGGAAAGTGTTTGCAGTGCGCAAACAGCCAGTTCTCATCCTGCCATTTTATGCCTGTGTTTTTGATTTGCAAACATACTAGACAGTAAGCAGAAGATTTATCAACATAGGCATTTATTCTGGACACCCAGGAGGTCATTTCATTCGGTCCTTTTGAAGATGTGTTTTGGCTTTTATCCAAATGAATCAGTGTAAGTTGCTAAAAACAAGCGAGTAACCTGATACAAAACATGAGACAAATATGTTTTGCAATGCTTAAAAATGGCAAATTCTAAAAAGAAAAAAAAAATGATGTACTTATCTAGCATTACCAAGGTGAAGAGTAGCACGTTTGCAGTCAGTTTAATAGCAATTGTGCATCTGCCAGGTATCTACTATAGTCTGATCTTCTATGGCAATGTTGTGTTTTTGGATGTTCATTATGTAGTTGACAAAAAATATATTCGAAAACCTTGGAATAAGAGCTGGTAGTTATCATCTGGCAGGAAAACATTACAAAATCATATCTGACTGATGAGTAGACGTTATAAAATCTACAGTTTGAACAATTTTTTCAAGAAGAAATTGAGTGTGATTTCTCACAGATTTTCTCTAAGATCCAAATCCAAGATGTAGATGCAAATGGTTTGTCT